TTCTTCATATATATATACATCTTCCCAGAGGTCGAAAACCCAATAAAACAACGATAACTCCATATAGACTAGTTAGCAGTAGCTTATATTTTAAACTTATTACTTTTTGGTTGAAGGTAATAATTTAGTCCTAATATGAATAGAAGTTTTTAATTGACAATACAAACAGTTCCATTGTAAGATATAGTTTCATACAGCTTGCGATTAGAGAAGAGAAGGAAAAATATTTTGAAATCAATCTATTTTCAAATTGATCTGTCTTCTCTGTGCCATACGGTACTATTTGAGTTTTCTACATAGCAAATAAATATTGGTTTCTTTTTAGCATGTGATCGATTGAAAGAAGAATGGTGTAGTCACTTTTCTTTCGTGTTCTTCATTCATGAACAATAAACAGCAAAACAAATCGCATTGGTGGAATCAGTGTTTGAAAATGAAGGGAAAAACGACAGGTGAATATCTGTATGTATATAGCTACAGTCATTCTCATTCTTGTTGCCATACTTCATACATGATTATATTACTTCAACGATGCGTTTGCTTCCTTTGCTCTTGCGTTTCGTGCTCTTTTTTGCTGGAGCTCAAACACTCGAAAACGGGAAGTTGAAAGAGGTGCATGCGGATGTGGGTGTGGGTGCGAGTGTTAATCACATTGAGGTTTATTTTTGCACACCCACACACCCAGAAGTCGATAGTTTTATTTTGTGCAATTTGTTAAAAAATTGGCACTTGAAGTTGTTATTTTTCAGAAAATAAAGATAGGCAACGTTGTTACATTACTGTTAACACATGATAGCGAAACTGTGAACTAAAAACATTTGCATTTGAGAAAATGATCCTAAGCAGAGAAAAGATACATTCCATTGTGTTAATATCACGTAAATTATATATTTTCTGGTTATGAGTTATAATGAATTCCGCAGCAGTGTTCCATGGTTTGGACAGCTTCTTCACCGATTGATATTCAATATGTTTTAATTCATTATTACTAGTAATAGAATCTGATGGGATTCAATTTTGTCCTGTCAAAAGAGGAGTAGAAAATGAAGCAACACAGGTGAAAAAAATTATAACGATCGCAAGCAACGGATACACCAGTTATGATTATTTATATAAATTGAAAATTTAAGTTTTCATATTTTCGTGTTCAGTTATATTTCAAAAGCATTTTAGAACTTCTCCTCTTTATTTTCGACAAAAAGATGTAGCTAAATAAACAATTAGAAGCTCGAATTCCATTGAAACACAATGAACAACATTTAGAAGAACTTGATAAAGATTTTATTGAATCTTTAGAATGGATAATTCGTATTTTTTGAAGCAGTGAAAATCTGTTGTTTGAAACATCTAACCCATCTACAATGCACAGTGACGCTTCGATCAGCACACATACTTTCTCTTGCTCTTTTTCACAGAAGGCTTATGTGTTTGCACTAGATTAACTTACAAAGCTCTTTTCAATTGCCCACAAAAAATTGATAAGGAAATGGAGAATGGTGCATCTCGTTGATTGTCAGTCATTGTTTTTTTTTCAAGTTGCAAAAAAAAACAGTACAAAATCGACACTCAGGTGCAGTGACACTGCATCAGTAAATTTTGATAAGGATGCTATGGTCTTGTTGATGTTTCTGCGAAAGAAGAGCTGTGCACTACTGCTATGCTAGAGTATGGGTATGGGCATGGGTATGAACTCTGGTGACAAGAGGATCCACACACCTAATCAACACCACCCTTACTCTCTGACTATCAATATCGTATAACTTGTCTTTGTTGCTTCATTTAACGTTGTTTCGTCTTTGTCCTTTATGCACGTGTGTTGTTACAAATAGGTGTATAGATTACTCTGCCTGTTCTGCATTATATTATTACTGCATGCAAGCGGAAGACTTGTTAATGTTTGCAAGACAGGAAAGGAGAAAATATTGTTTTTTACTTATGGCTGTACGTACCTCGGTTTTTTTAAAGTCAGTAACGACAACATTGCGGGTGAAAAGAGAAAAAAGCGTAGTTTGGGTAAGAGAAAGAAAACAGAATAACAATTTAGTTGTGCACACTGCTATGTCGACGACAACCTTCGCAGCGTATGGTGAAAAGTTGCGTCAAGCAACTCAATGTCGAAATATAGCTAATAGGTAGGCAGTTCAATGAATTTTCACATTGCCAACGTTTATTTTTCTGAAGTTCAGATATTCACAAAGTTCCAAGAAAAATGCGACTTCATTAGTCGGCCATCATGCACTTGACTTTACCCTTTACAACACCTATCATCAACAAATATCTCTGCATGATTTGACCACTCACTCTAACGTTGTTCTTCTCTTCTTTCCGTTGGCTTTCACCAGTGTTTGTACGGCTGAACTATGTTCAGTTCGTGACAATATGATAAAGTATACACGACTTAATTGTACTGTACTCGGTATATCGGTCGATTCGATATTCACTTTGAATATATTCAAACAAGAACAACAGTTACCATTTGATCTCTTGTCCGATTTTAACAAAGAAGTGTCGCGTGCATACAATGCACTCTATGAACAGTTTCCGTTATATGGCATGAAGGGTGTTACGAAACGAGCAGCATTTGTTATCGATCGGCGTGATATAATTCAATATGCTGAAGTGCTTGCTGATCCAGGACAGATGCCCAACTTTGCAGCAATAGAATCGACTTTAGCTAAATTAGAGCATAGTCAAGTTTCTGATGATACCAATGATTTCGATCTCTCTTCTTATTTAACAAGCTTATTAAACCGTTTTTTACCTTGAAAATAAATTAATTGATGCTGGATGAATCAGAAATTCAACACAACAGAGAGATATTTCAAGTAAAAACAGAATAGCTAAGCGCGTGTGTAATGCATCTATTCGTCGTACCATTGTATGCATGAGTGTTAGTTTCCCATTCGATCTCTGAACATCCCCAAACATACAAATGCAAACATAAGATTATTTCAACTTGTCATCCAGCGAGATGTGAGTTTCATTATTCCCTTCATCAACACCTACACTCCAATATAGTCTAAAACTGAGAATATCGAATGCACTTCGAAGCACTTCCAATTCTCTTAATATTTATATGGAAAGGAGAGCTTAGTTTCACATATGTGTGTTATTAGGTTAAACCGCTAATTTGGCATATTTATATGATCAATATATGGTCGAGAAAGTCTTCGAATGTACCTGAAATGTAGCTCAAATCTTGTGTCAACGTATTCGGTAACTAAAGTTCTTGCATCCTATGCATGATTATGTTGGATTCAGTATGAAACAGTACAAAACTGTGTCTGTTCAAAGCTACATACCGATTTCAGTGCAGTTCTTAATTTGTGTCCTGAAATAGCTTTAACTCAACATTACTGAATTGTTTACAAAATGAGATATTATAAGAAGCAGAATCTCTTTGTGCTAAAGAGCTAATTTCTATGATAACCGACGGCGGTTAAAAAATCGATCTTTCAAATACTATTTTTAAAAATAGAAAAGTTTTAAAATATATCGTGAAAACGTAAATAACGGGTGGATCGAAAATTTTCGCACAAAATGTTTGTTCATTTTTGGCCTGCTTGAAAGTATTTCAGATGAGTCAAAAACTATGGGTTAAGACCAGAATTTTGTGCTCTTTCCGAATATGTGCTCATAAATTTTGTGTCTGTTTTTGCTCGAGAGTAATGAGGAAATCTTGGAAAGGCCTAAAAAATTGGTTTGGACGGCGAACAAACAGGTTTTTGCTAACCCTCATAAGTCTCTTTGCGAAGGTGTTAAAAATTGTCAGAGTCGGTAATTTTGTAGAGTGGACACTTCTTTACAAAATGTGATATCAAACTAAGCCGTAGCTTATACCCAAGTGAAGCTATTAGCATTTTCTCGGGAGCTACTTTCGATGTAAAACGCCCTTTCGTCAAAAAATCGATTCTTCAAAAATGAGGGTGATAGGAAAACGAAAATTTAGATGCCTTATCTGAAGACAAAAAGAAACTCAAATAGTCCATTTTGTAGAGCAGATTTTGCTCTACAAGCTGATATATCAACAAAAGTTCCAACTTTTGGTTTCGGATCCCAATACTGAAAATACGAAAATGTACGGAAAAATTTTTCGTCCAAACTAATTTTTTAGGCCTTTCCAAGATTTCCTTATTACTCTCAAGCAAAAACAGACACAAAATTTATGAGCACATATTCGGAGAGAGCACAAAATTCTGGTCTTAACCCATAGTTTTTGACTCATCTGAAATACTTTCAAGCAGGCCAAAAATGAACAAACATTTTGTGCGAAAACTTTCGATCCACCCGTTAGAACGCTTTTTCAGAGGCAAACGTTGCTCTAAAAAACTGGTCCATTAAAAATTCTTTGACATTTTGAATTTGATAGGTTTCAATAGAAATACAAAAATGATTGAAATAACGTTAATATATTGATAGGACACATGAATATGAGTTAAAGTAATTTTACGGAAAGTTAAAGAACTACCACATATATCATTGTCTTGGTCAATCAATAATCAATGGCTTTTATTCGAATTCTCGTTCAACACTGGGAACATAAGCAGAAATGATGCTTACAGAGATCGGGCTCATAAATAATATAGGAAAGGCATTGACATCTTTGGTTCATTGTTCACATTGGTGACATCTGCTCATACACCTACTTGAGATGAGTAAGGATGAAAGTCAGTATATTCTCTTCAATCATATCCAATCACCCTCAAATAGTCGATTTCATGCTGACTTGAATAATTTCATAAAGTTAACACGATGGAGCCAATTCACATCGGTATGAAAATGTTTGTCATGCTCATGACGATCCCTCATAAGTTCAATCGATAATAATCTTCAATTATCTGTATCAGTTTATGATAGGAGCTAATATACCGGATCACGAAAGACAAAAATAGAATTTTTGGATTTCAAAATTTCAAATCAAGTTGAAATCCTAAAATAAAAAAGTTCATCTGAGATCGATCATTCCGACGGTCTGAAACGATATCTTAAGCTGCCTAAAACGGCGTGATTACTGCTGTAAACGATGAAATACGACCGCCGTGTGAGTAACGATGAGTAATATCAGGACCGCATTCTTACCGTAGAATGTCTTATTTACACCAGTTATTTTTCATTTACAACTCTATTGATCTATTGCCCCAAGACGAGTATTACGACAGTCATTAATGGTCGTATACGACATCGTTTGTCATCGTATTCGCATAAATCAGTCATTCCTCCTCATATTTCGTAAATAGAAGAAACAACAGAATTTATTTATTGATATAAAATACTTACTGTTAAATATTTCATTGAGATAAATCTAAATAAAAAAATATTTAATTAAAATACTTACCCTTGAACATTTGATTGAGATCATTCTAAATGAAAAAAAATAAATATATTTTATTTAAATAAAATGCTCACTATTGAACTAAATGGTGAAAGGAATCCGAATAAAAAATATTATTCATCTTTTTTAAAAGGAACTGATCAATTGATTATAGATCATTAGAATGTATTCAATGATGATTTTGAGACATTTATATAAAAATGATGAAAAACAGTGTGAAATAGCAAAAAAGCGACGGTCATAACGATAGTTGTTTCCGCTGGTACATAAACGATCATCGTAACGACAGTCGCTTTTTACCGTTTTCTAGTCTTGTGCGGATCGTTTTACACGACATGAGATGGTTCGAAAATTCCAACATCCTATGCTTCTAAAAAATGAAAATGGCGTCTTGAAATGTCTGTCACAATCTGTGAGACGGACCTAGGAATAGTCAACTTTTTCGCTAGAGACTTCAGCAACCATTTCCAGTCGTGTTTCAGAAAACCATATCATCTATCAACATTCGAAATCAATTCTGTAAAAGTTTCAACTTCAATTTCACCCTCTAAGTAACAACTATGACATAGTTTCAATAAAACATGAAATAATCAAGCTAGTTGAGACTCTACAAGATGTCATGTAAAATTCATTACGTTTTAGAAAGGTTGTGTCCATCATGTTAAAACATAATCTTTGTCTCTTCCTTTATTTATTACTCATTATTAAAAGTTTATAAAAATATATGATATACAATTATATAAGATATAATATATAAGATCACTGACGTTTCGAAAGCAAAAAGGTTCTTCTTCAGAGTTAAAATGTTCTGTTCTAAAACAGAAATACATGTGTGGTTTTTTCTTCTTTTGACGTTTAATTTAATATTGGTACGATCAAGATGGTGAAACTAGTACATGAAAAGTTAATTTTCTTCGTTCGTACTAGTGTTAAAAATTAAAATTCAAACGAAGAAAAAGAAGAAAAATTCACACTTGTATTCCTGTTTAAGTACAAAACATGTTAACTCTGTAGAAGAACGTTTTACGTTCGAAACGTCAGTGATCTTATATATTAAATCTTATATAATTGTATATCATATATTTTTATATACTTTTAATAATAATTAATAAATAAAGGAAGAGGCAAAGATTATGTTTTAAAATGATCATGTAAAATTTTCGACATCTTGTTATCTAGTCTATTTTAAGATTGTTATACCATATTCCTATATGAGTTCGATATTTTAGCGTGATTAGACACTGTGCTGATAAGCTTTTTCACTGATTTCATTTCTATCACACTGGAAAAGAAAAGAATATCGATTTTTTTTACAAAGTCATGAATGCATGACAATATCAAAACAAAAGAAAGTGATTGTGAGTAGTAAGTGAATGACGCATATTTTGCTTATAATTACCTTCAATGTTTTATGTTTCACATGTGTGTGTCATCTATGAATATTGGTGTAATATTGCGCAGAGGTAGATATATATATATATATATATATACGATATTGCATACGCATCTGCATACGCATCTGCATTTCATTTGATTTGTATTATATAAACAATGACTAACACAGAAATCATCGCAAAGAAGAAAGAAGCGAGTATTCTCCATCGATTTATCAAAAGTGATGTCAGTCCTCTTTATCATGCATGTCAAACTAGTGATGTCAATCGTGTTCGAGAGCTCGTCTCTTCTCTAAACTATTCTGATATCAATCGGCATGAATCCAATGGAAGCACAGCTCTTCATGCTGCTGCATTTTTTGGGCATGCTGATATTGTTCGAATTCTTCTACATGAACGAGGTGTAACGAGACATAGACAAAACCGAGATAAAATGACTGCATTTGAAGTAGCAGCTAATGATGAAATTCGCCAACTTTTCATTCGACCTGGTGGTGGATCGAATAGATTCTGTAGTGATAATAATTGCAACAATCAAAAACAATTTTTGATAGTTACAAATAGCAATGAACAAGACAGTGACAATAACAGGGATGATGATGAGGATACACCGCCAAGAAAATGGATTGATTCAGTAACGGATGAGGGTTACATTCAAGGGCTACTAACACTTAATGCTATTGGAAAATATTTATTTGGTTCATCATTGGCTCGATCAATTACGTTTGCTATGTGTAATCACTTGCTTCATGATCAATTCTTACCGTATGAAAATGAGGCATCCGTGAGGGATTTTTTACAACATCTGATTGATACACATGTTACTCGTAATCATCCTCATTATGACAAAGCATGTGCACTGGTAAACAAATTTGCCCGAACAAAACGGATTGAACCATTGCTACGTCTCTATACACTTGAAACACCATTGTATCATCAATTACACTATGAATCAGATGCATGGCTCGTTCCACTTATCTGTCGCTTTGCCAATCTAAAACCACGCTTCTTTCAAGGTACATCCTATCGTGGTTTGACAATGAAATCTCAAGAATTGAGAGCCTATCGATCAGCATGCAGAAAAAAATCGTGTGTCATTCAAATAAATACATTTTGTTCAACATCCGCTGATCGTCATGTTGCTGAAAGTTTTTTAAATGTTGGCTCTGATAGTGATGTGATCCATGCTCTAATGATTTTTGAATTTCCTCTTCCATGTGATACTGCTATTCAACTTTATGCTATTTCTGACAAATATCCATGCTTGTCTGATTTTGAAGATGAGAAAGAAGTCTTATTGTTACCACGAACATTATTCCATGTTAAACGTATCGATAATGATGATAGACAGCATTACGTGACAATTTGGCTCGAATATGTACCACCCGAACAGTATCCATTACGAGCTTATATCCGATGTATTTCTAGAAGTATTCGAAATCGATGAACCAAGGATTTGATTACGTTTTTGTTTCGCTCCATTTTATAAAATTAATTCTGTCCAATGATTTATGATTAGTCATTTTCACCATTGAAATGATTAATTTTGACTTGTAGTGTCCACATAAATTGAATAGAAAAATAAAAGAAAACATTTTTTTATATGCCACACATTTTCGTTTCAAGTCACGAAGAAACATGTCTCTCTAGTTGACGCAGAAGCCAAGATATGACTGCATGAATCTTAAAATCATTACCGTGTATTGAGTGCGGATGTGGATGCGGGTGTAGGTGAGCTGAAGACCCACATCCACGCCCTTCTTGTCGAGATATTCAAGTCGAAATAGTAGTAGTTCAGCAAATGTTAATTCAAGTGATTCTCTAACTTCATATTCATGAAATATAAATGTAAATTAAAGATCATTAATAAGATGTTCTGGTCAATCAATAAAAGTTCGATATAAATTTAGTTAATTAAATTCATAAAAAGTAGTCAATTTAATGATTCATGTGATCCTTCCCTTGGAATCAATCAAAAAATTAAAGCTGCCAATAGAAATAATAATTGTATAGAAATATTTAACAAAAATAGTCAATACAAATATCCATTTGGAATTTGGAGAAAAGAAGAATGACAACTATGATATTCAAGAAAAATTCACTTCATTAAACAAATAAATAAAATTGTTATGGATGTGGATGTAGATGTTAGTCATCTTGTCACAGACACTCAGACCTACACTCAGAGTGCGTTCATATTTTTGAAATCACTTATGTTTGATTTAACTGGTTTTTTTTTCAACTTTCTTCATACAACTCTATTCTATTTCAATTTTGTTAAATAATGATTTATTTACAATGAAACAGAGAACTAATATTCTATTGATGGGTAATTTGGTAAGATTACAATATAGATAAAATAATCAAAGAAATGGATTGATGATTCTCATGTAATACAAATACGAAAACTAAACATAATAAAATCGATTAATATGAAAACATCAAGGAAATAAAATATAATTAGGATTATAATGACGTTCATTAGTATTGACTTTTGAATAAATATCAGTGGTAATAGTATCCCTTGTATTCGATGGGATCCCACTTGAAAACATCTATTGTAAGAAATGTGGAAAAACAAGAACATCAATAAGTCTAACGAAATCTAATACTGACTCGACGTTTTCTTTTGTAAATTGTACATCGATGAGTCTAATATGCTTTCAACTTAGAATCACTATGTCTTTGTGAAAACTAAATATACATGAAACGAAATAAAGTCAAATGTAAATAAAAAAATGAAATCAATAATTATTTTACTCTCGCTCTTTCTTATTTTATCTACTTATGCATACCTATGTTGATTTCATGTAAAAGCCTTTTTTTAGTAGATGCTCAAGAGTCTATTCTATACACAAACGAATAAAATATATTCATTTCAGGCTTTAGATATTGGCTCTAAAATATTATATCCACAATATATATAATTGTTTTTAAAATAAGATCAAATTGTCACATTCTAATATTTATGTTTATCGAATGAATTAGAAGAAGAAAAAAGGTCATGGAAAATTATTTGTCCCGTATATGAAAAGTTATTTGTATAACGTAATTGGTATGAAAGAAAAATTTCAAAAGTAAAAATTTGTCTAAAATATTTTTATATTTCTAATATTGAAAAAGAGTCAATACTGTATTGAAGATACACAGGAGATGTCCATCACGCCTGACAATCTGCCGCTGCTACACCAAGACAAACATCTCTGGAATACACAATATTACATTATGTAAAATATTATACTTATATTTTAAATTTCATTGCTAATTAACTTTCTGATCATTTTTCTGAGTTATACAATGTTTTTTTCTAATAATGGAACGTTCTGTATTATAAGTTAATAGGATTGGACATATTTCGCCAAGTTAATAGATTTAAACTACTAGGAACCGAGATATTCGATTTGTCAGGTTTGTATAGTTTCATTATTAATATGGCAAAACAATTTTTACATGCGATTTGTGCTCATTCAATCAAGTCATTTTTTTAGTCAGTGAATCTGGAAGGTTTCTCGAAATTTAATAGTATTGTATAGCAAAAGCTTCTTTTTTTTTTGCTAATGCAAATGCAATGATTATCAGTACTTACGATTTCATTCATATGCAATGAAAACTACCGTCTAATATGATATTTCTGTAGTTTACTACCAATAAACATGAGGATCTTCAATTGAACGATAGTTACGCTAATTCTTTTTAGCACCTAATAGTGTGAATTATAAATATTTGTTATTTATAATTAATAACTAAGCAATAGTTTTAAAAAATAGAACGCCAAATGCTTTAATTTCTCAATGCCGCTAATTCTTTCGGTAGTTGTTTGCTCCATGCATATAAACTTAGATTTAATATTATTTTGAAGTAATAGGTCACACAACTGAAGACGAATAACATACTATGTATTTATGAAAAATATGTATAGATATTTATTGTCATTTCTGTTTGATGGATGTGTTGGACACGTTCGTTTGTTTTAAATTAATAAATCATTATAGGTAAACTAAGAAAATATATTGTGATTAAATAACATAAGTTACGTCTTTAGAAACAATCAATAACTACTTCTCTTGATTCTTGAAAATATTGTTTCATATTTGTTGAAAAACTCATGCAACGATGTTAGTTGATATGATCAAGTTCTTTCAGATCCCTTAACCGAATTGATGTTCTTTTTCTTTTTACAGAATAAGTAAAATCTGTACATGAATAATTCATTGTGCTAGATCAAAAAAGAACGCATTGGTGAAGTAAAACTTTAGACATTTGAAGTTTAAGTCATTTTTTAAACTACAAGTTTATCTACTTTTACTAATATACTACAAAACTTCGAAAAGACATCATAGCTAATATGATACTAATAGTGTAAAAACTTTAAGAGAGCATTTTTTTACATTCTCGAAGTAAAAAATTAATTAAGTGTACAAGAAAAAGCTTCATGAAAATTGTTCTTCGATATTTATAACTAAAATTTGAATACTTCACAAATAAAATATTTCGGCCTAGAAACGCCATGAGCACTTAGAATATGTTTGTTTGTTTGATAATAAGAGCATTCTTGTGACCCGAATGTGATTCATCTTATTAACTTATAATATGAAATCTTCCCATAGTAAGCAATTTTCAATGATTACTTTCATAATAATTCAAAATCAATCATCTAGGATAACATTTATTTCAATCTAAATTCTAATTTAATCATTCATTATATAATAATGCGTGAAGTTTGTTTTTCAATTAGTTTATCAACAACATACATGTGATGATTCAACTTTGATCATTCTTGCGAAATTCAGTATGTTTTTATTAAAAAAAAAGCTTTTAAGTGTTCGCTTTTATCTGATAAGAATAATCATAACTGCCTGAAACCAAAAACAATTGTTCCTTACTCTCAAAAAAAGAAATGGCTAACTATTTTGCTCTTTTTAAAATTATATGTAACGCAAGAAAATGTGCGTTTACTACTGTTTTTTATTTTCCACGACATACTGAAGTCTTTATGTAAGTGGTAGCACATTATGAAGAAAATCGCAGAAAAATAAAACAAGAACAGAATAAAAAAAAACAATTTCATAATCACTCTCTTCCAGTAACCAGCTACCTGTATATGAGAAACATGCGCCGACTACCTTTTTATTTTTTTCGATTGAGAACAAGATGTAAATATATATTCGAAAGTAATTTGAAATTATCATTTTAAACATGCTATTTTTCTTTTGAGGATGAACGATAAAAATAAAGAAACTGGTTTCAATTCAGAAGACGGTAAGTCTAATACGATTCATCAAACATTATATGATTTAATATTAAATATCGATGTATGAGATTGAAAAATGTTACAAGAATTGATTATTTGTCAATAAATAGTATGAGTCACTCGAGAGTAAAATTCTTTTGTATTTATTCATGTGAAATAAAGACCGAGAATTTAAATAAAACCAAAAATGAATTTATCAATGTGACTTTTAACGAATTTTAAAATATAACCCAAAAAAACAATAAAGAGAATACAATATTTACTTATCGATAAAAATAAATTTCGATGATTAATAGGGCAATCTACATTAACTTTGTCACATATGACTATTTCGATTTGATATTTGATAAAATATTTTTATTCATATTTTCTTTCATCTATAGACAACTATTCTGTATTCTCAACATCATTGGTGGAAAATGTGAATGATAGTGCGGAGTCGAACTCAATAACAGAATTAGATGGTTAGTATCACTGACGATTATTTATATACTATTTATAGTTTTCTATGTTTATTTTTGCAGAAAATGAAAAAAATTGTACTATGCAATTTAATAAGGTGTGGTCTGATATGTCTGATTACTACATTAATTTAATAAATAGTGCATCTGACAACATCGAACAACCTACTAAAAAACGCAATGACTCTTCAGTTGATCTGTCAGCTAACAACGAGCAATGTTTAACAACAGCATCAAATACTCGAGTTGAAAGTATGTTGTTTCAATAATTTTATCAGTTCGTTCTGAATTTATTTTGGTTCCTACTAGCTTCTTGGCTTATACATATAGATAAAAACACGGTTGAAATAGCACAAAAACAATAAGATTACAGCTTAAAAGAATTCTCTCTTATTTTTAATGCTAGTTCTCTGATACAGATATACCGGGTAAGCTTTTTCTTAGCATTGATCCTATATTAACGTACATTTTTCTTACCTGAAATTCTACTCTACGCTATATTCTAGAGTTACTTTAGATAGCGTTGTTCTCCAATCTGACATTCCATTAAGAAAAAAATAATAATTATCATATCAAATTAATGGACTTAAATCGATTGAATGCGAGTGTGAATGCACGAGTGCTGATACAGGTATGGGTTTGAAGTGATGATCAGGATTATTAGAGTATTCGTTTCACCCTATCTTAATCCATACCCTCATTGTTATATATCCTTACAACCTCTCTAATCATTATCATATATTATCCTTTCTCTTTATGAACAAGCTTGACCCAGAATTTTTAATTTATAAAACATTATTATTATAAATTATTTTCTTTCTTCTTTTGATTACAACAGATGTCGATTGGTGCGTACGCATTATGCATCCAATTTCGAACACATTTCGTATTTATTATGACAGTGATTTTGAGCGGCAGCACATCAAGTCAGAAATTCCGAAATTAACAGATTGTTTGGGCAACACACGTCTATATTTTAGTGTAAGTTGACACATTGATTTTGATTTATTTCCGATTTTTCTTCAGCCTGCTTCAGCATTTGCCAATGGTCAAGTTGAATGTACAATAGTATTCAAAGCTCCTGATGGTTATTTTTATTTTGCTCCTTATGCATTTGTTCGTCGTGCTAATAAAGGTTTTAAATTCGAAAATTCTACTGTTTTTTATTTGGAAAAAGACGCGAATGATGACGAATTTTTCTTGTAAGCAAATATTTTACCTTTAAGAATCTAAGGATTTACTTCATTTAATTTCAGTTTGGAGATGATCATTTGTAAATTAAAAAATAATATGTTTGAATCTAATGATAAACAAGAGCATAACACATGTCAAATTAAACGATTTCCTTGTGGTATAATAAACATTTTGAAACATCAGAATTATTATAAAATATATGTAAATATGCATTACGTGTATAGGTACTGTGGTTAATATCGATCATAAATTATTATCATCATGGGGAATAAATGAAAAGGAAAAGAAAATGAACAAAAATGCTAAACCTGTAACGCCTAACAAATTGGCCAAACTTCTTAACTCATATACTGCACATATCGTCTTTCGTCGCACTCATTGGGATCCTGTTGAAAAACAATTTGTTTCGGAACCAGAGATTTTATTTTGTTCCAATGCTTTTACACCAGGTAAATTACGAATGATTATCATATATGTATACTATTTGCTATCAGATATTTTTAATTTAGTTAATGGCTCAGTTCGAGTACATCAATATGATTACAGTCCAAATAAATTAAAAATTAAAAAATTGATACTTTCACGAATTTCATCGCTTCAAAATATCAACCAATATAATTTACAAGTATCATGTATTGTAAGTTATCATTATCTACTTTTATTTCATCACTGCTTTATTTTGTCTTGAAAAGATGCCGAAAATGTATGAATGTACAAACTTGAAAAACAAATATTTGAAGGCTAAAATACTTACTAGTAGTGAACACGATTCACGTATTCATCCAAACTATAAGTTTATGGATGGTCAAAAACCAGTTGATTCAATATTAATTCGTGTTGATCAATATGATTCTACGTAAGTGTATCTGTAATTTTATTTTCATATAGACAATCGTAAGAGAATACCTTATTTTAACATGAGTATTCTTATTCGAGCCTTTCTTCAACACTCATTCATTTTCCTGGTTAACTATTTAGAGATCAAATATAGCAGAGTATGCGATAGGGTCGCAAACGATTCGCGACGTTGAAAATAACTAATTAATGTAGGTAAGACTATAGCATAGATTTTTCATTTCAAAATTAAAATGTCTATAATTGATATTGACATGTTAAGTCGAAAGATAGTGACAGTTAACTTCTTCAAATACCTTGGATTTACTTGGATTAGTAAACTGTTGTTAAAGCTCATTGTGAACAGATACTTGGAGAACATTCAAAAATTACCATACAAGTTGAAGTGGCAGAACCTTGTCTAAAACTGGTATGAAGATGTTTTTTTGTTTACACCTTTTCTGACTTTGCCTGAATCTTTTCCTTGTTTCTTTAAACTCAGAAAGAAGCACTAGAAAAAAAGTTTAGAGCAGCAATTGATCTAGTTCATCGTGCTTCATTTCTTGGTATGATGGATCTTTTCTCATTTACTCACGAAGATTCACTCGAACACTATGTCAAACGATTTATCTCGAAAAGATCAAATAATATATATTTATCTGATTTAAGTTTTCCATTGTTTTTAGAAAATGCTCTTTTTTGCGATAATTTTCATAAACTGGCTAATGACAAGATTGGTTACTTCTTTTCGATGAAGCGAGTCAAAAGATCAAAGACTAAGCCTCATTCACTACTTCTGATCGGGCTAGAATTCATTAATTAACTCAAGTAGACTCATACTTCTCTCAGAGTACTATTCTTTTGGAACCAGCCAAATCCTCTAATGTAGAATACACGTGTAACCTTGTGATCCTCTCTCCTAACCCTTTCTTTTTTTGGGAGATCAGTTTCTTTCACTATGTTTCTCGATTACATTGTTGTCTCGTCCTTTTCTTTCGTTCTTATCTTTCGATTTATCATTATGCTCCATATGAGCACTTACAAATGTTACATTAAAATAGAGCATAAATCAAAATATCTTTCTTAAAGAAATGAATAGATTTTGAAGAACTATATGAAATAGAAGAAGAAAAACTTGTCAAGATAAAAGAATCTATTGTTTTTATGTGTAATATCTACAGATCTTATTTATAGTTTGACGTTTACCGTTATCAAACGTACAGTGGAGGAATGGGAAACCGATTTCATTTTAAATCAAGGTTTACCAGTTTCATCTTCTAATATTTCAAGTATGTAAAGTTTTCTTTTAAACATATATGTTCATCCGTTCTTCATTTTTTATCTTTTTACAGCGGTTCGGACAGTACCATTGGATAGTCCTAGCATGAATAGTTTTCGTGTACAGTTACAACTATGTGATAAATCAAGCGATACTGATGTTCCATATCCAAAATCAACTGTTATATCTGAATTACAAGATGATGGCAAGTTTTGTTGCTTATATTGCAGTATATATAATGTGAATTTTATTTATAGAATTTATTTATTCTGAAAAACCTATTGCTTCTTCGTCGCCGGCAAATGATAATTTAACAGATGAGACTATAGATCAAGCATCAACACATGTTAAACGATCATTCGAAAAAGAACCTCAAGAACGTACAGGGTTGGTTTTTTCTTGATTGTATTTGATATCGTATTAACTATCAATTTGTATTTCTCTCTTTTTAGTTCACCGTTGTTGAAAAATCAAAAACATACGTAGTTATACTTTCTGTGACATTTGATTTAATCAAATAAAAAAAAATTGACTCTTTTTAATGTTCTTATTGTAGGAATAACAAAAAACTTATAGAGTGACCATAGGTCTTTAAAAAAGAAGTGTTTTACATAAATAAAATATAAAACATAATGAAACTATCATTATCTGAAACTTATTAATTATTATTGACGAAGAAATAGTCTTAAATAAATGAAAATTACAATGAAAATATTTTAAAATTATCATTAAATGTTCTGATTTTAAAAATAATTTTGTACTTACGAAGAAAAGTCTGTAAGTGTGACTTGCTGATTAAACTGATATTTTATCTGTAAGCAGGCTCCAACAAGACTAGTAGATTCCTACCAGATCTCTGGCAGGACATTCAATATCTGATGAACAATGCGCCCTTTTGAGCTCGTTTAATTCTAGAACACTGCATTCATGTATAATTTTACTTTTAGTTGTTCACTTAACTTGTTCTTAAAAGAATAAGATAATAACAAATTCTTTCATGAAATAGTAAATTAAAACAAAGATAATATAAAAATTTTTTATACAAGAAAAGGTTGAATCAAGACAATGGTTTTGATTGTATCAGTTCTGTTTCGCAATGTCATAAAAATACGATCATGAGAGGACAAACAACATTTGATTAGGCTTACAAAGAAGAGGTAAAAGAAAATCCACAGAATAAGCCATACTTATAATAAAAAGCAATGACATTTACATTTGACAATTAATTTTCGCAGTAGCACGAACGCAAAATTTATTATCTAATTGTTTTGGATCGAAATAAATTCTTCTATCAATTAATGTAAGCCTTTTGATATTAAATTGGCCTTGAGTTCAAGCGTTTCTTGCTCGATTCAAATAAATTTGTCAAAGCACTCGCGAATAGTAAGGCGATATATCAGCACTTGGTTTTCAAAACGTAAGAGTCATGCCAACAACTGTGTTCTGGTGCCTCGGTATGATCGCTCTTTTTGATTGGTATCAAATTTATATTGGCAATAATAGTTGATTACTTCAATTTTCAGTATTATGATATTTAAAAACAATCGAATTTTACATAGGATCTTATCAATGTCAACAGAAAATAAAAGAAAATCTATCAAGACATTTCTTCAATAGATTTTTTAAATACATGGCGTCTATGCATTGAAAGAGTTCTCATGTTCTTTTATTTACAAATGAGTGATGTCTACGGTAAAAAAAATGATTCATTACTATTACTAAAAAGAATCAGCAACCATTGAAAAATCAACTCTTCACCTCTTTGAAAATGTCATTTATTATTTTCAACTATTTAGTGATTTTATCATAAGAAAAATCTTGTTTTGGAATTACTTTTCATGTATTTGTTTTAATTTTTTGTGGATCATAAAGAGCTGTATAATCAATTTTCGTTGGCTATATTAACTTCATTTGATTCAGTGACACACGCAATATTTTATTTTTTCAAGACTTCTGCAAATAAACAACAAAAGCACGAATTGGAAAAATCCTATATCGTTTGTTATTAATAATAAACTTCATCAATAGAAATATTGGCACCAACTGCTCGTGCAGTGCTTCATACAAGTACTTCCTATTCAGAATAAGTTAATAAATCTATGCATCTATTTTAGATAACTATCAATCATGCCTTTCAATGATAAAAATGAATATGAACTATCAGAGGAATTTGTATCGAAACTTAAAAAGTAATTGAAAATAATTTATAAAATTGTAATATTTTATATTAATTTATAGATCAATCTCGAAATATTTATGTTTACAAGCGAATGATTGTAAAGAAAAAGAATATGAAGAAATAGTCGACTTACTATCTGTAATAGACTATGGATTTTATAAAGAACAATACTTACCGAATGTTGATCCAAATCTAACATTTGAAGAAGAAAGAAATAGACTAGCAGAAGCTATAAAACAATATGCATTTCCAAGTAAGTTATTCATTATTTTCAGATTTGATGATAGATGAAATTGATCAATATAAATAATTTAGATATCTTAAAAGGATTACGTGAACTTCGACAAAAACGAATTAAACATAAATCCAATAAAGAAAATCAAGGTGAGATCTTGAACAAGAAATCTTTATTTCAGTTCATTTTATTGAGTTGAAGTGAAAATATTTCAATTATTTTTTATTGTATATTTATTTATGACTTATTCTATATTTTGTGTTTTAATTTTTAGATTGGATCAAATGTGAAACTAAAGAAGATAAAATTGTCCGAACAATCTGGAAAACATGGTGTCATGAACGAGAATGTCGTCCTCGTGCTGGTATTATCCTATTATATTTTGATACACATGGTTTAGCAGAAGTAAATTCTTTTTCAATTTAAATTTTTTGTTCTATAGATTCTTCTAACAAAATATTATAAAAATAATTATATTCAATATGGATATGCTAAAGGTAAAATTGAACTCGGTGGAACTATTTGGGATTGTGCAGCTCGTGAAGTAAATTAATGAAATACATTTTTTTTTCGAATTTTAAGAGAATTTTTTAATTTTCTAGGGTGCTGAAGAACTTGGATTGGATGCTAAAATTATTTATAATCTGATAAAGCATAGTCAACCAATAAAAAAGAATGTATTTAATGTGCTCGAAAACTCATCAATTGAACATTATTATTTTATCATTCCTGTACCCAATAAAAACATTGATCTTATACCAAATGAAGAAGAAATTCATGTAAATATTCATATTGTTCTTGATTTAATTGAACAATCTTCTAATCATTGTTTCTTTGCTGTGAAACACGATCTAATAGAAGTGTTGAAGTATAATGGATGTCTCATAAGTTCTGATCCTCAACGAAAAATTGGTTTATATGGAAATAAGAGTGATCTCTACTCAACTATATCCATATGAGTTTCGAGTGCTATATCCACACCCTATCTACTACATATCACTTTGTATAATTCTATTATGTTACATACAATCAATTCATAATTCATGAAAACTTCTTTAAAACAAAAGTATTGATTGAGTGCGAGATTTTAATTATCACATTTCTTCTGTTCATATCACTATTATTTAAATTGATAATATCATCCTAAGTACTCAAATCTCATATAGACATAGTTGAGTAGAGATCATTTTTTAGAAATAAAAATTTGAACCCTTCCCTTCTCCATCATAGACTGTGACAGAATCTGGTCAAAAGACCGTATATCCGTGCTCGAAAATACAGTCCTGGAAAAAAAGTAACTGGCCTCCATAAATCGCTACTATTCTTTTTGATATTGAGCTGATATTTTGAGAAGTGCATGCATGAGACAATAAACTCTGATTACAAAGACCTACACGCCGTCCATCGGATTACATATACTGCAGTTATGATTCAGAGATCATCTTTTCTCAATTATGTTATCATGTATATTTTTGTCGAACCTCTCATTAGAAAGGATAATGTCATAGTTATGTCTAGTCTGAATTTCATTAGAAATTACTTTAAAATAACTGACATATTATCTTCTTGTTAAGAATATCTGTTGAAGAGCAAATACTAGTCTTTAGTAAAATGGACCTTTGTCATGATGATTTTGACTAATTTGAAAATTTTACTCGAATGTTCCAATGAGACAACAAGTCTTTTCTGCAAGTTTTAGAGCCATAGCATTGAATAAAATCGAACTAGCTCTATGAATGGGTTTCCTATTCCATGGCGTGTTAATTACCAAGGTCTTGACTATATGTTACAGGCTTTGCACATACTAAAGCAGACATATGAGACTATCTTCAACGTTAGAAAAAAACTATAGTACCTTGTGGAATAGCAAAATGACAAATAAAAAAAATTTTTGAGTGCATATTTACATTGAATATGTTTTTCTCAAGGAAAAGAAAATGTGTGATTTAAAACATCAGTTCATTATCATAAAAAATAGTAGTATTTCATAGAGGACAGCTACTTTAGTCTAAGACTGTAAATAGAATAAAACAATCTCTCTGTAATAAACAACAGTAGCTATATCGTGTTTCACATTTTAATTCCATAGAAATTGTGCTAACATTTTTTTTTTGAATAGGATATTGTATGGCATGATGTTTATCAATTACCATGCTGTAATCAATGTCAAATAAAATCGCGAATACAATTGGAAGATAATTTCAAAGAATCAAATTACTTTATGGTAACTTGTACCGATCGATATGATCATCATTCACTTGTTAAGTAGGTAGACTTGATTATTTGTTTCATATAAACGTAAAATACTTTTTGTTTTAGTGATATTTTGTTATATATAGATAAGATGAATGGAAATCAGATTGCTTCACAAAAATACAATAATATCCATCAAACATGTCCTCATAAATTCAATTGACTATTGATCTAATGATTTGATTTGATTTGATCAAATATGATAAAATTCTGATATAAAAATGAACTATGATCGATAATATCATAGCAATCAACACTTAGAAGACATGATAAACAAGAATCTCGTGAAAGCTGTAGCTTCACAAAAGACATAATTAAATCTATTTAATTTGTTTTTTCTTTTATTGTCTACTATTTTATAATCTAGAATTTTTACATTTCCAATAAAGTTAACTACACACTATTAAACTACATATAAAATAACTTCTGAATACAAAAAAAAACAACAAATTACTGTTTTGATTTGTATCGAGATAGATTAAAAAGTAGAACTTCGTATCTAAATAATAATAAACATATCAAAATGAAAGATAGTTAATATCGAACAACATTCGATAAGAATGATATTTTCAGAATAATGTTCATTGTGAGGATAAGAGACTTTGGACGTTGTTCAACTGTTTTACTACATAGTTTTTTTTTCAATCTGTTTACACTAACAGAGTCTTATTGAAATACTCTAAACAGATATGTATATCGAGATTGGATGCAGCAGTGGACGATTGGATCAATAGATGGGATAATTGTTCCCGTTTAAGGAGAAATGGTTCACCCACACAAAGTCATACGTATCAAGGAGAAATGGAAAAAAGAATATAAACATATATTTATCACGTTTAATTTACCATAAGGAAATATTTCAGCGAGGAGAAACAAAACGAGAGAATACAAGCATCTATCTATCAATCTCTACTCCATGACCTATTTTTCATTTTGTCACATCTGCTTATTAACGTTAAGATGGATAAAGAATTTCTGTTAGAAATATTTATATTTCTGTTGGAAGAAAATCCATTTCTACTAGAATTTATCCTTACAGTGGAAAATCATTTAATTCCTTTCTGCTGATATTGTAAGGATAATCTGATCGATTTCTCCTTATGTATTATATATTTCTTCTTGTGAAGATAGATATGGTTGATACGTTTCTAATTGAAAACATTTAGTGGTAGATTGTGTTTCGCTATGAAAAGCGTTTCTGCTTGACTTTATATGGAATGAAGGATTTCTGCTATAAGCGGAACAATTTCTCAATTTTCGGCGATGTCGTCCAGCCCTCAGAAAGTCATGTAACATTGTCAAACTATTGTACAAAAAAACATACATAACCAACAAGTTATGTTTCTTACAGGTAGACAATCGATATTTTCATGAAGCCGTCTTATAATTATCTGTAGATGACCACGAATGGAGAATTGCTCATGGTTGAGATTCTACTACACAGATCATCACAAATCTTCAAAGAACTTTATCATCAAAATATGTATGCAAACATTTCCTTCAGAATAAAAAGCCGTGACCTTCTATTATGGAACTCATATCGCTGTTCCAAGGTTAGTTTTTCTATTTCGTGTTACTTTTTTGCTAACATCTACCTAGAAACTCAAGGATTTTTGAAAAACCTTTCTGATATTCAAATAAGCATTATTAGGGACTAAGTACCGAATTTACTAGAAAGAATTAATTTTAAATATGAAAAATATGATTTTCCACTCAAATACCAGGCTTTTAGACGCTAACCCCCGTCTTCAAATCCGCTCGATTTCTCAAAAATCAGTTTGGAAAACTTATAACATTCTATTTCGAAAGGGAAACCATTAAATTGTGTAAGATATTTTATTAATACATTAAACCTATCTTTCTCGCGATTGTTACTTTAAGCAAGCGAATCTCAAAAAACCGAAGCATCTACAAAACTAAATAACATAATTGTTTCTTAAGTTTAATTTGAGACCTAAACATATTTACTTAAACACAACTAAATCAAAAAATTCATTTTAATTAACAATTTTGATTTTTTTGAAAACTTAAACCCACAATAGATTATATCTATGTCAGTCAATAAGTTCTGAGAACTCAAGGAAATAGATGCATAGAAAACCACATCAATCGATCTATTTACAACAAATGTTCGAAGTACTTATCATGAGATTCGATACAAAGTTCTATCTTTTTAACTCTTCAAATGTTGCTCGCATTGTCATTCGAGAGCTGTGGGTGCAGGCTCACAAAAACTTTGACCCGTATCTCCTTAATTGCCATGCTGGAACATGATACAGCTTGATGATAACGAGAATCTTTTTTTTTTGAAAGCTTTTTAATCTAGGATTTTAATCATTAATTAGAGTTGCCAACAAAATCAACATCTACTGTCGAAGATGTTTTATGGTAAGTGATGGTTCAGCTATTGTAAAACGAATGATAAACATTATTGGTTTCGGTATCATTATGTCTTAACGGCACTTAAATGGTTTTTCTTCTTTCTCCCACTATGATTTTGATTATAGATTAGATCCAATATTGTAATAGTAAATTCATATCTAACAACTAATTATAATCTTCATATTAACGCCTTGTATTATTAGTTAATCTGTCTACATTTTTCAAGATATCATGAACAAATGTAACTAAAGAAATAATCAAGAAATTGAATTCAATACTTCTTATTAATTATGAAAATATATTTCGACAATAAGTTAAAAGAATGAAAATCCATTTTGAACACCATAATAACTATGTAGAATATTTGCTGTAAAATGATCAATTAGATGTATTTTGTCTATGAATTCGCGGTTAAGATAAACTACATATACACGCTACATACAAAAATGAATATAACTTATCCTTCTGTTTTTAAACCAATCAGATCATATTCCATGTTATACCTTATTTTTTCCTTTTCCATTTTCGTTCAGCTCGAACTCGGAATGTCACTAACAGAATATTGAGCAAGCTATGTGACTCGTAGATATTCATTTTTCTGTTAAAAATGAGAAATGAACGAAATTCTACTTTTTTTTCTTGATCGGATCCGACAACACTGTTTCACAAACTAAGATGATCCATTTTTCTTATTTTTTACAATCTTAGTTATCAGTTGACCTTATTTGACTGAAATAATTAAAGCATTTACTTTATTGAAAAGACTCAGGTTTTTGAATATCTTTCGAGTCCTTAAAAGCTTATATTGTTATGTAGAACGAAGTTCGTTTGCATCATCGAATCAGTTTACTTTTTTTTCAAAAGAAAAGAGTTTAAATATTTAATCGTTTCAATCATTTCTACATTACTTTTGCTTTATGCCAGAATTTAGTTTGCATTTTTTCCGATACTGAAAGAATGATAATACAATATCTAAGAGAGAACATGAGCACAGTAGGATAATTTAAAAAAAACTGAAAAACAACTCGTCTGACTTATAGAATTTATGGCATTTAAACACCTAATTCGAATTTATTGCATCGACTTATTATTCGAAGTTTTGTTTTATTTTACGAAATGATTTGGTCTTGAGTTTAAAAACAACTTCTGAAACAAACTGTAAAGAAAAAGTTTGAGCCAATATGCCTCGTGAAGATACGAAGTTAGTGTCTTTTAGTTCAGATGTTTTTATTTTATTAAGAAATTAATGTTTATTATTGCTTTACGTAGAAGCTCGAAGCGACAAATGATATTAATTGTTTTTAAGCTCCGAAATCAATTCTATACGAACTTTATAAATATAATCCAAATGGTATTTTCATTTTCGTTTATTCTATTTTCATATTCAAAGCTAACAATCATATATTCAATCCGAAACTCATAAATAACGCCGCCATTCTTTTAGACTTAGTATATCATGGATAATAGAACTTTTAGGAAAAAGATTAAAAAAATATGGCACGAAACTTTGAGACAGATTTTAGTATTTCTAAACTGGGTAGTTCCACATGGTAACTGAGAATACTGCTGAAGTGATAATTCAATCGAACACAAATTAATTCATTTTGATCAATTTGTTTTTAGTAGTTTTTTAAAGTCACATTTGTACAACGTTGAAAAATGGCATGTCAAAACATTCAGCTAGCGCAATATCGTGCTAAATGATTTCAAACAAATTCATTATGCTTTTGAAAGATTCATCTAAAAATGCTTTTAAATAGTCGCAGCTTTTTGCTTTTATGTTAGTGGTTAAGGCTTTTGTTTCTCTCTGCACACCAACTGAAAACAAGCAAAAAATGTTGTAGTTTTACAGCGAAATTAGAATATTGGCAATAGTATTTCGTGAATAAAAATTTAGATCTTAGAATTTGTTTGGATAAACTTCAGTACAGATTTCAATAACTAATAAGTGGCTGAGTACAACTTTTACAGTATACTAACAAGAGGAAAAGAATCTTTTACCATTTTTAATATCTGAAATGTGTAATAATTATAAAAGAAATATTTTAAAGTATCATCGGTAGTCATCAGATGTAAATATCTTTTTAATTAAGTTTGTTGCATCTAGTGCTGACGAAAGCAAGTATTCTTCTTCACATTTTGGCTGATGATTCGTTCGAACACAAATTGTTAATATCAAAGAACATTTATGGCCGTTTATCAAGTTTTAAATACCGTCTTATTCACTTTGTTAAGCACTGAACTTATTGAGCAATCAAATAACATATTAATTTAAGTTTTTCCAAGAGAGACAAGTAACGCTCGTCTGTGTGACTCGCTTAACCCTCGACTGAATATTTCACTGCATCGGTAGTTGTTTATTGCTGCAGACGTTTTGTAAAAGGTAGCATCTGGCGTTTGCACATGGCTTTGTGCTGGTGTCAACATTAATGTGCACATCTGTGTCGGCGTGTACAGTGCTGTTGGTATCATTGTGATACTGCCGGCTATACCATTCGTTCATTTAATCTGTTACTCTATCAGTAACACACAAAAGAAATCCGCGCGACTCACACTGACACAGCAATATCCTCAGACCACGAAAAAAAAATAGTATATTCGATTTGTAGAGAAAATCAACACACAAAATATATCAGTGTGACTGCAGTAAAGATGCCCTACACTTTTCGCAAACTATACTAATAATGTGTATAGTCATCAACACATAGGCTGGTAATATCACTGGCCGGTACCCGCTACGAAAATGCGTATTCAGCGGAGCTATCAGACTAAAAAGTATATTTGTTCAAACTAATATTCGGTATATGCAACTTGAATGAGGCTTCAACTCTGAATCTTTGTGGGATTAAACAATGAATTTCAAATAGCCGGGAAAAAAATTTGACAAGTTAATAGACAGACGACGTATCCATGAAGACAAAAGATCATTTAATTCATTCCATTCAAATCTACTTTTAATGATTCGATGTAAACTGTTTTATTGACGTTTTTTCGGAAAGGTTCGATTCCGATACTGAAGGCGTTCTATACACCTGTTCTCACAACTTCACTCAAATATACTTATTAGCCCTCTTGCCAGTTCTCCCTCTCATGAAAACTAGTAAGATCTAAACGGTAGAGATTCTTCCAATGGATTGGAAGTTTCTGAAGCGTTCTATTCAAGAGATTTCTTAGGACAGCAGTAAGGCGCTCGTCGGCACCCCAGTGGGGCGCCACTCGCGACTAACTGCTACTATGCATCGCTCTCTTCCAGTAATTATACGATCATGTAGTGTCATTTAAATTTTACTGGATTCTACGTTTGGCTAAGTTTCAAAACTGCCTATATTTATTACATGAGCAATTCAAAAGCGAAAACACTTGTGAACTATTCCTTATGCGTTTCAATCCCTTACCTAGATACTCAATCTGAGATTTCGTTGAACTCGTCGTCGAAAGAAGCTTAAGTACATTATTCCATACAAAAAATTAGCTTAATAGACCATATCTCACACAAAAAAATTGTGAAATAGGAATATGAGCTACTATATTTCACTATCGGAGTTCCGACGTCGCGCTACTCACACTTAGCTACTACCGTCTTTGATCACATATTCCCAAATGACTACTTTCTTATTCAAGGCATGACTAATCCACATTTCAACTGCTTTAAAAGCTTCTCTACTTGTAATTAAAGAGTACTACATTTCCTATATCAAGCAAGATATCTTTTAAATACATACTTGTCGTCTATCGAGTTTCTCCATGTTTATAGGAGCCCTTCTTTACATAAAGTGTCATTGGTTAAGTCTCAGTGGCGCTTTTCTAAGAACCTTGCCTGATGTCATGCAGAAATGTCGTAAAAAGATTTTGAATAAACCTAGTTTGGTGGCAGCTACTCGTTCGCCAGTCTCCCAAAAGGACGGCATTCACGGCTAGCCACTACTTCCAGCTACTTTACACTCACGAAAGGTTGATGCCATTTTCATAATCGAGCTATCGTTCCTGTTTGAAAAACTGATGAAAAGTTTGATCCGTTACAAAAAAATTCCTCTACATTAGAAATTTTCTTTGGAAGTTTATCAGTATATAGGAATAGGACACGTTGATATAGACTTACTGATAATCTGAAATCTTCTTAATAAGTGGACACAACCGTTGTATCCTGTCAACCTAAGTAATTTTTTTGCGTAATTTGCTCTCATTCCTCAATCTTTGTTCTACAAGTACTCTAATTCCATCTTATCTTCGTATTTCTTGATTCATTACACTGCTGTCACGAATTACAAAGTACTTACAGTTTCTTAGCATCACTTCTCAGAGAACGAAAAGATTCGAAATCTGAATTTTGAAATCCAGATTTTAGATTCGGATTTTTCACCCTCGATAATCTACGGCAAAGTTCGATCAAAACAGCCAAAAGACTTAAAATAAGAAAGTTCGTTTCTGATTGGCCGATTTCTGACCAATAAAACTTTGACCAAAGAAATGGACTTCGGATTCGGAATCAGAGCCCTCGATAACCTATAGCAAAGTTCGATCGAAACGGTGAAAAGTCTCAAACTAAAAAAGTTCGTTTCTGATTGGCCGGTTGTTGACCAATGAAACCTCGGCCAAACAAATGGATTTCTGATTCAGATTCAGGACCCTTGATAACCTATAGCAAACTTCGATCAAAACGGTCAAAAGTCTTAAAATAAGAAAGTTTGTTTCTGATTAGCCGGTTTCCGACCAATGAAATGACGGCCAAAGAAATGGGCTTATTCGGATTCAGCGCCCTCGATAACCTACAAGCTATTTTTTTATATGACCCTCCCTACAGTCGAGGAAATATGATCATTGATGTTTAAGCGGATGTTCTTTTGACCTTGTGACAAGCAACAAGCAAACTATTTTTTTTCATATGACCCTCCTTTCAGTCGAGGGAAAAACGACTTATTATCAGTATATCAACAAATTAGACATCTAAGGTTTGCACTTTTTCTTAGTCTATATTAAAGTAAATTGGCAACAAACTTTGTTCTGATTGATTCAGTATTCACTACATCAGTTATGTTACATATAATGAAATTTGAGCATCTTGTTACAAGTTTCATCTTTTCATGTTGAGAGTATAAAAGCGGATCTTCGATTTTAACATAAAAATAAAGAAACATTTAGGTTTTCTTTTAGATACGAAACTTTTATTCATTACATTCATACTAACTATGTCCAAGACCTATTATGTATTTTACTTTGACTTTAATTGATACAGTACAGAATATGTAAAATCCATTATTATCAAATGACATTAGTGTATGTGATCGGCTTCAGATTAATGAAAAATGTTAAAGTTGAAAAACTATCTACCATATGCATATCTAAATACTAGACCGACAAGAAACAAAAACAAAAATATTTCTTAAAAGAGTTATCCACAGAAGTATCTGTTCTAGAATTCGTATATCTTACAAAATTCGAAGCAAGATGAAAAATTCTTTCTTTATAGCGATAAATCTTAATTACTGAAACAAGATACTTTTATTTAGTTTGTATTGAGCTGGAATTTTTTAAAATTTCAAATCGAATTCTTAAAAAAAATGATGAATAATTTGCATATGTACATTCAATATATTCATTGTAAAGATCAAAGAAATTATTATATGATTATATAGCAGTTAGTGTAAGAACGTGTTAATTAATGTATTTGTAAGACGAAAGCAATCACCGATTACTGTATATACATATATGTAAGGAAAGTACGTGATCGTTTCATACATTGTCTTTTTGTCTGACTTATTTGTTTCTTTTCATACATTATTGTCTCGACGAGTGTGAGATTGTTCTGAAAACACGTAAGCACATATTGGTCCCATTCAAATTCATTCCGTTCTCCTAACTTTACATACGATGTTGAATCACATTTTGTAGAACATTCGACTTCGTTATTGGAAAATTAATTTACCACAAAACATATTTAAAAGTGAAAGAAAACACACGAGAGAAAGAAAAAGGAGAAAGGTGTTATTGAGAGAAGAGAGAGACAAGAAAGAGTTTAGCTTTATTAATTCTCTTCTCGACTCTCTCTCTCTCTCCCTACTCTTTGTTCCTCTATACCGCTGTATCGCTTCGCCATGATACTACTACAGCAGTAAAGCGGTCTAACGAGACTGAATTGCTACAATGTCTAGTTGCCTAGCGACACTGCTTTTACAGTCACGAATGATAATTTTTATTCTTCTCCGTGGCATATTTTCGTCATAAATCATATTCAAACTACCTCATAACGATTGATACAATTGTTGATATTTTGATTACTCAATACTCATGGTCATTCATTCTTTTTTCGTGTTCATTACTGATGCATTTGATTTCCTTTCCTTCCTCTATTTGATGTCACAACTATTGAACAGTTGATTGTCCACAGCTCAAATTGGCGAACGTGTACATTGATATGTAGATGGATAGTGAGAAAAAGAATTTACTTATTCTTCTTCCCATTTATTTAAGCCATATTTGAATATACAGTCGAATAAAACAATATACGGCTATTTTTCTATTTATTCATTATTCTGCTCTTTCTCTCTCTCTCTCTCTCTCTCTCTCTCTTTCTCGTTATTATGTAAACATGCATTTGTTAAAAATTAAATTAATAATAGAGAAAGCATGTAACAACATTGATTCTCATTTTTTATCATTCTTACTGATGCGAAGTGATATGTAGTCAAATCATTTTTTTCTATTATATTTTAGTAAAAGTATTTGAAAATTTTCATTACAACTTTTTTCCTTCTATATTCTAGACATAATCATATGGATATTTTCTCAAAGTTAACACATTCTAATGATTCCTCACCAAATGTTACACAATCCATTAGATATTCAAGTTGGTAAAATTGCCATGTTATCATATATTAAATTAAGTACATCTTTTTTAGATTGTCTTCTAGAACATGAAATTAATAATTTTCGTTCAGATATTATTTTACCAAATTCTGTCTACTTTTATGCAAATGACAACACAATTATCATGAATCGTAAAGGTAAAATTAATCCATAAATACATTTTTTTTTTAATTTGTTTGTTGTTTTCTGTTTAGGTCAAGTGTTAAATGTAACTCATACAAGTGAAGAAGAATGTACTCAGTCAACATTAAACAGTGAAAATGATTTTAAACATAACAAGTATAATTTATCATCACAGTAGTTTCGTCCTAACGTTTCTCAAGAAGAAATTTTCATGAATTGGAACGAACTACGTGGTCATGTTGTTGGTTTAAGCAATTCAGGAACAAATTCATGTTATATTAATGCAGCACTTCAATGTTTAGCTGATGCACCTCTATTTGTTAATTGATTATTTCGACAGATTGAAATAAGTACATGTATGTAAAAAACTTTTTTTTCCTCTAGAATCTTTTAATTTATAACTTTATTCAGAATGAAAAAATTGAGACCAGCGTTCTTTCTTATGACTTTCTAGCAAAGTACCCCTCACCATATAGCTAGTAGTTAGGGGTATCAATTTATATTTACCCTTCATTTAATTTACGCATAAATTAAATGATAAGTAATTTATATTTATTACAAATGTAAATTATTTTGTTGCAAAATTTATATTTACAAATGAATGCAAATTGTTATAATTTATATTTATGAATAATTATAAATTTTCAAAATTTACTCTTATTTGTAAATATAAATTTTGCAACAAAATAATTTACATTTATAATAAATATAAATTTCTCATAATTTATATTTTTTATAAAGTAAACGGTAAATGAGATCCCTAATAGTAATGTAAACTCAGAAATATTATTTTACATAATTTTTCATTGACGTGTGGGTTATGTATAACTGTAAAGCCTATCTGTATCATGCATTTTAATTCATTATCTTCCAGATAATGGAGGAAGTTGTCTTTTTAAACATTTTTTTTTGATTTATTTGAAATTTTTGTTATCATTTTCATGTAATGTATTATCATAGATGAAAAGTTTGAAAATCTGATGCAGTGAGATTAATTATAAATCTTTACGATTTTAATACATTATGATAAATTATATTCATAAATTACGATAGATAATAATGAATTAGTTGAAAATGATGGAAAATTTCTAAATAAATCATAAAGAACCAATGCATAGTAAGACGATTTTCTCCATTATTTGAAAGACAATATATTAAAATACATGATATAAGTTCCTTTACAGTTACACTTAGTGAATTATTGGCTCTATGGGAAATGGCTATCTACTTGTTATTTTCATAGTACAATATCTGCCTCATTCTTCCCAAAGAGAACAAAATATAATTAGAAGAAAGTTAGCAGTGATTTATATTCGGCAACGTTTGAAGCTAAATCGTAAGAACCATGACACCTATCTGTAGACAACCCATGTAAACAAAAAAATAATCAAAAAATCGATTAAAAAACCGATTTTAATCATACGCCTTTAATCAATAGTTTAAGCGGTAATAATCAAAACAAAATCAGGTGATAATCGATTATTTCAAATATCATGATTATAATCGATTTGACAAAATTTAGAAAATGGATTATAATCATGATATTTGAAATAATCGATTATCACCTGATTTTGTTTTGATTATTACTGCTTAAACTATTGATTAAAGGTGTATGACTAAAATCGAATTTTAATCGATTTTTTGATTATTAAAGTTAATTTTTTTCACCTATTCTTTTTAACATGGAAAGATGCCAGACCGTCATTTCATTTTTTAATGGTTTGATTTACACATGAAAATTTGTCTTATAATTCAATGATATTTAATTCTTTTTATGAATGCAATTTTTTTTTCATGACACATTAATAGGTGAATTATCGAACAATGGTAAATTTTGCTCTATATGTGAAATAAAAAAGATTATCGATTCCCTTTATGTATCTTCGAACAAAGTTGTCAGCAACGAAAAGCAACAATTTGTTGCATCTGCTGGTGTTATTAACACATATGTACATATATTATCACCTGCTTTCAAGTTTGGAGAACAGGAAGATTGTAGTCTTTTTATTCTAACGAGGGAAGGCCACCAACTGTCCCCTCGCTTTTGAGCTGAAAC